TATATATATATATATATATATATATATATATATATATATATATATATATATTTGCATACACTAGAAATGTGCAAATCAAAGATTTTTAATGTTAAATCGAATCGAATCGATGAAATTTCACCCGAATCGAGTCAAATCGTTGAAAGAATTTTTAATTAACATAATCATTGAATTTAACATGAAAATAGTGATTTCAGTATGAGAAAGATAACATTGATCGTGTGAACTCAATTCATTTTAAGATAAGAGGTATATAGTAATATATAGTCGGTAAATGTGTATAGAATACAGTTCCAGCTTTGAAAGCTACGTAACGACACATATCGATCCGACAATTGTCGATAAAAGTTTATCTAGAAGCCATTATCTTCTTTTAATATTTTTTAAGAAAATCTTAATGTATAGCAAACTTTTCAAGTCATGTTAATTCCCGTAAAACTGGATGTTTTTAATAGTTGTTTGTTAATGTGCGCGATCCGTATTCGAATCTTTTCGATTAAAAATTTTTGAATTACTCGGATTCGAATCATAGCGATTCGAATTTGAATTGAATCGAATTTCACTTGATTCGATTCGAATAGTTCGCACATCTCTAGCACACACACATACACACATATGTCTTCACAAATAATAATTTTTCTGCAAGTTGCATTACGATTTATCGTCTAACGTATGCATACATCGATAACATTTACTTACCAATCAAAGCACCAAGAATAAAAGGCGTTAATTTTTTCACCATAATGCTATTTGTTGGTCTGTTTCCTTCAAACATCTTATGTGGTAATAGTAAATCCACCTGCTCAGCGCTCATTCCCGATTTTTGTAACTCGGCTCGAGCTTCGTTTTCGTTTTTGCCTTTCATTAAAGCTTCGGTTTGTGCGAAGAAATTCGCTAGCAAAATCTTGTGATGCAAAGTACCTTGTACCTTACAACAATAAAAAATTCTCAATAGTAACTAAGTCCTACAGATCTTTCTGCTTTTTGTTTTCTCTTTATTAATTTTTTAGACACTCGTCCCTGTGGTAGTGTTGCGAGAGATTATTTACCTGATTTTGAGACTGAACAGGAATTATGAAATCTGCTGGTACAAGTCTCGTACCTTGATGTAACAGTTGATAGAACGCATGTTGACCATTAGTGCCTGGTTCGCCCCATACGATCGGACCTGAAAAAATATTATATACTTTAATTAATATATATTCTTTATGATTAACGTATTATGCAGATGTACGTATTAGTGTGTGTAGAACATACCAGTGGAATAATTTACAGTCTTTCCGGCGCGAGTAACATATTTTCCATTGCTTTCCATATCACCCTGTTGAAAGTAAGCAGCAAACCTATGTAGATATTGGTCATATGGTAATAACGCATGTGTCTCAGCCTTGTAAAAGTTGTGATACCATATACCGAGCAAAGCTAATATAACAGGTGCCTAAAAAAAATACACAACAGGTCATACTTCAACTAGAATTGATAGTCCAATCTGTATAAGATGCAATATCTATGTACAATGAAAAAGTGAACTATAAATAAAATTGTACAGGTTAATAAAAATCAAGAAAATACAAAAAAATTTTGCAATTCTTCATGACATTCTACTAAATAAGTAAAACCTGAATGTTGAATATTAGCTTAGAATATTAGTTTCAGAGATATTTAGTTTTTCAATTTGTAACTCGACAATTGCCACAACTGCAACTATGAAATGAATAACTAACGTCTCTGAAGAACTCACTGTGGTAAATATTAATAGAAAACATATTCTATTAATAGAAGACATTCTGTATACTTACATTTTTCTCCAATGGTGCTGTGCAGAAATGTTGATCCATAAAATGAGCTCCATTTAAAAGTTTCTCAAAATTATCGAAACCAATTGATAAACAGATCGATAAACCGATAGCTGACCACAATGAGTAACGCCCACCAACCCAATCCCAGAAGCCAAACATATTTTTCTCATCGATACCAAATTCCTTAACTTTTTGCGAATTAGTAGACAATGCGACGAAATGACGAGCCACCGCAGTTTCCTGAATTGTTCCGTACCATAAGAACCAATGCCAAAGAAAACGATAGTGCATCAACTTGAAATTTGCGAACATACATCTTTCAATGCCTCCAAAAGCCACAGCTTGGCAGAAGTTGCATTAGTTATAGTTTCTTGTGTAGTGAACGTCTTGGAAGCTATTATGAACAGAGTTGTCTCTGGGTTTAATTTCTTGAGAATCTCAGCTATATGAGTACCATCTATGTTACTGACAAAGTGAACTCTGGGTCCAACATTATATGCCTTTAAAGCTTCAGTCACCATAAGAGGGCCCTATTGTTGTAAAAATATAAATATTCAGATTAAGAGATATGAAACCATTAGGAGCAAATATTAGTGTAAATAATAATTTTGTAAATGTTAATTTTCCTGTGATTTAAAAATTATTATTATCTGTGACTAACCTCTGATGGCCTTATTTCTCTTAATGTAATTATTTTGTTAGCTTATTCACAAAAATATTCGATATTGTACAGTTATCTATCTATTACAGTACAAATCATATTATAAAAATTACCAAATCAGAACCACCAATTCCAATATTAACAACATCCTCGATAGGTTTGCCAGTAAAACCTTTCCATTGTTTCATCAATACCTGTGGATAAAATATATTTTATATTGTAAGATATATGCAGATCATATTTCAAATGACAAAATTGTACCTCATTTGTGAAACTCTTCATATGTTCTAATACTGCATTAACATCTGGCATCACATCTTTTCCATCTACCAATATTGGCATATTACTTCTATTACGCAAAGCAATATGCAAAACTGCTCTGTTTTCTGTAAAATTGATTTTTTCACCACTAAACATAGCATCTTTTGCAGCTTCTATCCCCCGTGCACGAGCCTATAGGATCATGCAATCTGATGAAAAATTTTCAAGTATTATTAAAATAATTTTATGTATAACTTCATACCAAATCCAGTAATAATACAAATACTTCTTCATTAATCCTATTCTTGGAATAGTCTAACAAAATTGGACCATCTTGTGGAGTAGCAAGTTCCAAGCTGTTTCAACACAAATATATAGTAATTAATTAACATACAGTTTCTTATAAATCCTATAGAGGTGTAAAATAACAATGTGAAATTGTTATCTTAGCTGGTGTTCGCAATATTTTTTTCACATAATTTCCAGTAAAAATAAAAAAATTTGTTTAAACAAAACATTAAAACAAAAAAGAAAATAATGGGAATATAATGCAATCGTATAATGTATAATCGTGAAAATTAATCTTTCTTCGTCCAAAATCTTAAATAACCTTGAAAGGTCATTTCAGGGTCACATTTACGATGAATTAAAACTTACGTAAATTTTTCGAAACGTTTGTTATCTTCTTGAAACATATTATATATGTTAATCTTTGAGCCATTGCTGTCAAAATATTGTTGCAACTGATTCCACGCAGATTCAGTTAACAAATTAGTTTTGGGTTTCATTTTGTTATTTTAGAAATATTGTTCGTGAATCACGAGAATAAAACAAAAATGGTCTGTTCTTTTCAGCTGCACTGCTGAACTGGTGCAATAAGTTAAAGTGAGACAAATATATGAGTGCCTTCCAATTGCTTAACACATCTTGACACACACGACATAAAACCAGTTTATTGGTCACATATTTGGTCTGTTCTTTTCAGCTGCACTGCTGAACTGTGCAATAAGTTAAAGTGAGACAAATATATGAGTGCCTTCCAATTGCTTAACACATCTTGACACACACGACATAAAACCAGTTTATTGGTCACATATTTGGTCTGTTCTTTTCAGCTGCACTGCTGAACTGGTGCAATAAGTTAAAGTGAGATAAGTATATTTTTTCTTACTCTAACTTATTGCACCAGTTCATCAGTGCAGCTGAAAAGAACAGACCAATTATCTAATAGCATGTTCGACTGGCTCTGGGTTAACCTACTCTGGGTTAACCCACTCTGAATTATTCAGCTTACGTTTATTGGTCGAACAAGTACTTATAAGCTTTATGATTGGTTAGTAAAGACTTATGACATCATTAATCGTTCTCGAAGTGATTAACCCAGGGCTAGTCGAACACGTTATAAAATATCTTGTAAGATAATATGCAACCAATAAATTGGTTTTGTGTAACACAGGGTACGCAACTAGAAAGCACCCTATGTTTTCTCACTCTAATGGCTCCTGCACACAGGAAAGAGTTAGAAGGTAAGAGTAAAGGGACGTCTACATTGGAAGTAAACAGTAAGAAGTAGGAAGTAAGAATAAGAAATTGATCAATTATAGTTAATTATTCTTCTCACATTCGACTGTGATTGGTCAATTTCTTACTCTTACTTCCTACTTCTTGCTTCCAATGTAGACGTCCCTTAAGAGTTAGAAGGTTATTACGGAAAGCAGCACATTGATTGGCTGTCGCGCGAATTTCCGCGAATTACTCGAAAAAGAACCAGGAGTATTGAAATACTAGATAGTACACCGATCGTGCCTGACAATACTTCCATAGTAGCGCTTGAGATCGATATTTCGGTCAAATACATGATTTTTTAATACTTAATTAAAATTATCTAGATGACTTATAAACCTTTTTAATGATACTTCATAACTCTTCATACGAAATACAAACGATACCATACCGAACCTTTGTTTAATTTAATTTGTTTAATGACCTTTGTTTAATAACCTCCGGTCATTATTTCCGGCTAAATACATGGTCCAAAAAAGAACAATTAATTACAAGTAATAGAATGACTCACAAATCTTTTCAATTGCACTTCAAAACTCTTCATACGAAATACAAACGATACCATACCGAACCTTTGTTTAATTTAATTTGTTTAATGACCTTTGTTTAATAACCTCCGGTCATTATTTCCGGCTAAATACATGGTCCAAAAAAGAACAATTAATTACAAGTAATAGAATGACTCACAAATCTTTTCAATTGCACTTCAAAACTCTTCATACGAAATACAAACGATTTAAAAGTTTTCCAACCGAAATTTTTTTCCGGTTAAGTACATACGAATGAGCGTTCCAGCGTCGAGCGTTAAAGCATTAAGATACCTTTACATGGGAGCATCGAGCGTCGAGCGTTAAAGCGGTAGCCAATCAATGTGCTACTTTCCGCAAGAACTACAAGTATACTTCTAGGACCTGATACGTTGATTGGCTAACGCTTTAACGCTCAAAGCTGGAACGCTCCCATGTATTGGTACCTTTAGCCAATCAACGTATCAGGTTCTAGAATATTCTTGTAGTTCTTGCGGAAAGTGGCACGTTGATTGGTTACCGCTTTAACGCACAACGCTCGATGGTCCCATGTAAAGGCACCTTTAAGTACAATCGTACCAACTTACAGTAAAAAATGTGTTTTCATATCTTTTACACTTTTGAAATGAATAATTCAATATTTATTTGATAGAATGTATTTTTCATACATTACAATAATAATTGGTTCTACGAACGCTTTAACGTTTTTATCATTCCCATTTATGCAATTCATTGCATAACAATGAATTGCATAAACACAATATAAACTTTTAAATTTTTAAACAAGTCCGTCTAGACGGACGAAGTTCAATCGTAATTATACGCATTCGGCGTTCGAAGTTAAATACCTGTAACATAGAGAACAATATGAGAGCGCAATGTAATACAGAGAACTTTAAGTTTCTTCTATCATTACTATCAATACACTATTGATTATAATAGACACGATACGCGTTTGTCCATCAGATTGGGTTTGTTACATATAGGTTACAATAAGCAGCATATATCTATAACGATTGTCACCGATTCACGAATTTGCGCTAGAGATATCGATTTATGAAACATTTTTTATCGAACATTAAATCCCACACAGCACGTAATATATACCCAGTAAGCAAATTGAGCGCAGACTGCGCGCAGATTGGCAGCAAATTTGATAAAAAAACTCACAGCAAAACCATAGCCATCTGTGTCTACATTAGGCTACGGTTTTAGTGACAGATCTTGCTGTCGAGCAATTGATGCGAAATTTGCAACAAAAACCGCGCAAAGTTTGCAGTGCAGCAAGGTCTGCACGGTTTCTGCCGCCAATCTGCCGTCAAATCGCCCTTAGAGAAATATCATATTAAGAATCATTGATAATTACTTATTATCCAGTATTTTTAATACTGAAAATAAGTAATTATCAATGATTCTTAGTATGATATTTCTATAAGGGCGCTACAAGCTCTGCGCGGTTTTTGCTGCAAATCTGCAGCAATTATCCGACAACAAACTTTGCCGCATATCTAGCGGCAATTTGGCAGCAAGATTTGATATAACAGATCCTGCATCAAATTTGTTATCTATTTGCCATCAAAAGTTGATAGCAAGCTCTGCTCGAAATCTGCTCGTGCAGGTTTGGCTATCTGGGTATAATATCACAGTAATATTTCAATAATATTTCTGCGATATTACAATATTACGGAAATATTACTGTGATATTATATAATATTACGTGCTGTGTGAGATATATCCCTTATAGAAATAACATACTAAGAATCATTGATAATTACTTATTTTCAGTATTAAAAATACTGGATAATAAGTAATTATCAATGATTCTTAGTATGATATTTCTATAAGGGATATGTCAAGCTATATTTGCAATTTCATGTACATTTTCTTATAGTTTTATATCAATCTGCACTTGTGATGCCCGCGATCCGTATTGCAAATGTGTAATGTGAAGCTGAAATTAATTGACGAGAAAGAAAAGATTTTCGTAGGTAAAATATTATAAAGATTTCTATATAGACTGCACCAATCAGAATGGATGTATATTATGTGTGCAATAAATTAATTACATTAAACCGATCATACATTTTTTCATCTAGCATAAACTCATAAATAAAATAAAATAATTTCATCGATAGATTCAACAAGGTCCAATTAACTGCATGCATTACTAGCAGTGAATATCGGACGCAGTCGTAATTATTAAATTTTATTCAATCTATCGATGAAATGGTTTTATATGAGTATTACAAACTATTTTTTGCAGGCCTGTGTAATGATAGAAGAAGCTTGAAGTTCTCTATATTACAGCTCGCTGTGCCTTATGCCATGTTGTTCTCTATAATATTCTATAATATTCTATTTATCTTTGAACGCGGAAAACGTATGTAATTACGATTGAATTTTGCCCGTTTATAACAGACTTGTATAATCGGTAAAACCTTAGTTAAATTAGTTTAAATTGCGAAATTAATTGCATAAATAGGGATAGTAAAAACGTCAAAGCGCGTGTAAGAACAATCATTATTGTAATGTATACATCATATTTCCATACAAATTTTGCGCTAACATATATAACTCCTGTTTCTTGAGGTTCAGCCTTGAGTCACTTGATAGTTATTGCAAGTGTACTACGTAGCATCGAAAGTGAATAATCTCATGCTGCTTATTACACGGGAATATCGATATATTGGATTGTCTGGAAATTTAAAATCGATTTTTTGTGAAGTCTACGTTTCTACATGTAAAATATTTTTATATTTTCCTCGTGTATGCAGAGTGTCCAACAAAAGCCATACAAAACTACGGATAAAGGTAAAACACGTTAACTAAAAAGACTCCTAGTATTTTACAAACAATTATGTGAAATTTCGAGATATTGATTGATGAAAAAAGATTAACAAATCAGAGACGCGCATCGTGTCTGTTATAATCAATAGTATATTGATAGTAATGATGGAAGAAACTTACAGTTCTTTGTATTACATTGCGTTCTCATATTGTTCTCTATGTTACAGGTATTTATCTTCGAACGCGGAATGCGTATAAATATCGTACATGATGCATATAATTACTTCGTTCGTCTAAACGGACTCGTTTAATCGATAAAAGCTTAAGAGTTTAAATTGTGTTGCAATGAAGTGCATAAATGGAAATGATAAAAACGTTAAAGCGTTCGTAGAATCAATTATTATTGTAATGTATGGAAAATACATTTATTGAATACGCCAAGTTCTAGAAAGTAATTAGTGCAAATATAGATAAATGCAAGAATTAAATAGAGTCGGTGCTTCTTTTGTAATACAAATATATTTCCACTTGCTTATTAATGTAAATATTAATTTATTTAATTATTTATAAATATTTAATAACATAAACAAAATCATATATATATATATATATATATATATATATATATATATATTTGCACTAATTACTATCTAGAACTTTTTAGAATAAAATTTGGCTCGAAAAGTAGAATGACAACCAAGTCGCTCGAATTCAAATGATTTTTCACTCCTATAAAATAAATGTTCGACTTCGAATCGTTCAGTGAATACTTAATCATCACAACTTTTTTGTTCTCGTATAATATAATCTTTGTGATTCTAATCCATTTCGACCCCATTCGAAGTCACCGTATCTCAAGTAGAAGTGGACGACGTTAGAACTATTTATGTCAGTCGTTCACGTATCATTCGATCATTTTAGGAACGAGCAGCGTGCATTGTAACGTTTCATTCGCAAAAATTCAGTTTTATCCTCGACGAAGTCGAGTCAAATAATAATTCTCTGAGTGACTTTCATTCGCCGCGGCATTACAAAATAATTTTGGTAAGATATCGCTAATATGTTTAATTTAATTGTCAGATTTCCCTTATAGAAATATCATACTAAGAATCATTGATAATTACTTATTTTCAGTATTAAAAATACTGGATAATAAGTAATTATCAATGATTCTTAGTATGATATTTCTATAAGGGTTTTCTTTCTTTATTTGCGAAGACGTACTCGGGCAGGAAATGTAACTGATATCTACATCTGAGGCTTCCAGATTCGAACGACTTTTCGATAAACAGTAACATTACATTAATGTTATAATTTTCTATACAACATATATTCATACAATCTCATTGTTGAGTTAAAAACAATAACTTCTCATTGTTGAGGTAAAAACAATAACTGATATAAGATTATTATGGATATTGCTTATTGATTACATATTGATTACTGTTTTGTTTTTGATTACTGATAATTGATTTACTAGGTTGTCGTTTCCGAAGTACCGTTCAATTTCATAGTTCCATAGTTTGGGAAGTCGTATGATTATTAAAATCGTCAGAGCCGTGTTTTTGGAAATGATAATATCATGAGTCGATTCTTCATTTACAAAAACAATAAATAACATTTAAATATATTAGTTTAAATGCACAGAAGTAATTTGTATGCGTTTTCAAAAATATCAACTATACGTGAAAATATATTGCATCAAAATCACACTACCATGATTTGGAAATCATGGTATTAAAAACTGGAGTTTTTTGTTGACATTTTGACATAACTTTTTATCTACTGAAAAGTAGAAGTCGTAAGTAGAAGTAGAACTCTTTCCATTTTTTATGTTTTGGCTCTTAGGGGAGAGTTACACGACTTTTGTCTGAATTGAGTGGCGCATGACTATTGTCTCGTGCACGAATAATTTGATCTCATATGTATTATTAATATTTATATCAAATTATTAATACATATAATTTTATAAATATATATAATATTAATAATTAATATATATAATATTAATCATCAACTTTACGTCTAATTTCTCATATAATATAATCCAGAAATTAATTAAATCAAAAGATAATAAATTAGACACAAGTGGATCTCTTAATGCAAATATAGGAACCTTCATGCGGTTTACTGAGAGATAATTTTTTTCTCGTAAAAAACTAATGATCTAATATTTAAAGGAACCGCACGCGGGCGCTCACGACAAAATGATCAGCAGCATCTCGAGTTCTCAATGTTGCACCAACACAGAAGTGTACACGAAAAATGTCGCGCACAGGAACTCGATCGACACCGCCAGTGATACCGTCGGCGAAGTGTCCCTAACGAGAAAACCAGGTCTCTTTGAATTTGAAACCGAAGTAACATGGTCTTTCGCCGTATTACTGTTTGCGTTGCATGCCGTTGGTATTTATGGTATACTGACTTTCGACTACTTTGAGAATCTAAAAAGTACATCATGGAGTAAGTTTTCATCGCTTTGAAATTTTCGCATGCGCATCGTTAAAATTGACATGTGAACATGATTGAACGTTTGCTAGCGACATTCTCGTAAAAAATATTGTGCGATGCATTTTACATATAGCTTTCCTTTTTTCCCAAATTAATCCAAAAAATTACAACTAATTTTAATTTTTGAGCTTTTCTTTTGAATAATTCTGCTTGTAAAGCTTGTGATATTTCATGATTTATTTCCCAAAAGTCGTTCAAAAAACAAAGAAATAATTTACTTATTCTTTTTTTAATAGAGCAAAACGTATTATATCTTACAACTGCTATATATCAAGAATTAAAATTAAGTTCCTTTTTCTAAATATCAAATTTGTCTTTGAATCGTTGTATAAAATGTCCTGGATATAATCTTGCACTGATTTGTATTAGTTAGTTGTGCTAATTAGCTCCTATTGGCCTTTATTTTCTATTCCCTTTTATTATAGTACTTGGCATGCATGTGTTAGCTATTTTCGGCGTGTCCGGCGGCGCACATCGACTTTGGAGTCATAAGTCTTATAAAGCTAAGCTACCGCTGAGAATTTTACTGGCATTACTCTACGCTGTAGCCGGACAGGCAAGTTTATACTGCAATTCTACACAAAATCGTAAGACTCGTAACAACTTATAAGTATATTTGCAATTCTATGCGAATCGTATGTTATATGATAACTCGTAAATATCTACGATTTTCTTTTTTTTTTGTAAGCTACAACTTTATGATTTTACGATTTACTCGTATATTTGCTTAGAATTGCAGCAATAGTCTTAAACTCGACGTAAATTATTGCAATAATGATTCTTTATGACGGGTTATTTGCAAGTGAAATGTTTGCCGCGATTGCTTACTCGATAATTTACGAAAAATTAATCTTGTTTTTAAACTTGTAATAAATATTGCATTAAATATTGCATCGGGATAATTATTGTACATCAGTATAAATTTAGGTTAAGTGACAGGATCATATTTTAGATGATATAATTAGATGATAATAATAATGTGAGAAACTTACGTTTGTCTATTTGTTTACCTCTAGAGCTCTATATATAGTTGGGTGAGGAATCACCGTTTGCATCACAAATATTCCGATACCGACGCCGATCCTCACAACCGTAACCGTGGTTTGTTCTTCTCGCATGTCGGGTGGTTAATGATGGAGAAGCATCCGAAATTTCTCGAGGCAAACAAGAAGCTCGATCTATCAGACATTCTCTCGGATCCTGTCGTAGTATTTAGCGATAAGTAAGTGGACGCGTTCAGCGAAAAAAACGCTCCGTGAGCAATCAGCGATTATTGGTTCTTACTGTTAGATCCCTAAATCTAGACCAATTACATTGACGAATTGCTCAACTATTGTACAACTGTTGAGTTCGCTGAATGCACTCAGTGTATTTAGATATTGCTCACCTCATATTGAACATCACATATTCCGCAGCTAGATGGGGAACTCTAGTAGCACGGAAAACATATAGTAAAATTAATTATCAGCTAAGATTTATCCACAGCAGAAACACCATCGCAAATTCTTTCATAAATTAAATTACTTAATTAATTGGTGTTATCAGTAATCCTATATCCCGTATAATTAAAACACACAATAAAACGACTATTAGTTAAATTTATGTGGAAACCAGACAAAAACTTGATAAGGACAAAGAGGTTTCTGTAGGACGCTATTCAGCTAATTGTTTTTAGTTATCCGAATTTTAGTGCAGTTGTTTGTTCAGATAAATATTTTTGGTCACGGTGACAGAGATATTATATTCCGTCAATGAGTTTCTCGTCTGGTCCTATTCAGTTATACGAACTGATATTTTTTTCTATGTACCATGGTATAGAGAGAGAGAGAGAGAGAGAGAGAGAGAGAGAGAGAGAGAGAGAGAGAGAGAGAGGGTTAATTTTTAACTACACCACACATTTCAGATATTTCTTGCTGCTGCAACTCATATTCAGCTTCATCCTGCCTACGATCGTGCCCGTGTACTTCTGGAATGAATCGTGGGGCAGGGCTATCATCTCTCAGGTGTTTATACGGTACATGATCACTCTAAACAGCATAATGTTTATCAACAGCATAGGTCACGCATGGGGTTACAGGCCGTATAACAGGTATGCGATACTCGCAATGCACACGGAAAAAACAATTCTGTTGGTGCAACCGAATTTTTGGTTGCTCAGAGATTAGACGAATACTCAGCTGTAGGAACGGAAAAATTCCTTTATGAGGTTTCTGTATAGTCAATTATTCTCAGTTACTTCAACTGAGTTCTAATATCGTTGAATGTTCAGACGGTTGCGACAATAGAAATACTAGTTTTCGAAATCGCAGAGATATCGCTTCTGACACTTAATTTTCAGTTGTTTCCTATTCGCTTGCAGCAACTGAGATTTTTTTTGCGTGCATGCATAGAGTTGTAAGCCGCGTTTACATGTGACACCAGGATTGAGAAGTGATGCGTTACTAAGAAAGGTAATATAAATTCAAATAAAAAAAACATGAAAAAACAACATGAAGTTCTTGGAAATATAAAAATAATAAATGTAATGTACAAAAAAATAAATGGTAAATAACGAAGGGAAAGTAGATACAGGCAGGAATGCTGTTATTACAATGAAATGTTAAATCCACAAATAAATATCACATCGCTATGTGATTCTCAATAATAATTATACACTGATGTAACTTTCGTTTTTGGACTTATGACTTCACTGTAACAATAGTGCTTATTCTTACTTGCAAGTAAAAAGAAATTATATAACGACACGTTACTTTTTTAATAATGAATAAACGATAATAATCACGTGTTATATTTCAAAATGAGAAGGTAATCACAAGATCGGTGAATAACGAATTACTTTTGTCAACGGCCAACGGTATTATAATAGGTCTGTTCTTTTTAGCTGAACTGCCTTATCTGGTGCACATAAGTTAAAGAGAAACAAATATATTTTGTGTTACCCCAATGACTTCTAATAGTAAAAATTTATTTTTAAGAAAAGTATATAACTTTCACAATTCTATCATAAAACATTCGCACATCACTCTTTCAGGCATATAAGGCCGACGAACAACAAGTTGGTCAACGTGTTGACATTCGGGGAAGGATTACACAATTACCACCACGTCTTCTCTTGGGATTACAGATCGGGAGAGATAAATATCAGCGCGATAAACTACACCACGCATTTTATTGATATGTTCGTGAAATTGGGATTGGCGTACGATCTCAAGTTCCCGTCTACGAATTTGATCAAGAAAGTCGCGATGAGCAGAGGCGACGGCAGCTACCCTCTAAATTACGAAGTCCCGCTATCGGAGAATATCTAGAATATGCAGGGAGAATATCTAGAATATGCTAAATCTGGCAAATATGGGAGATAATGGAACACTATGATTTTCTTGGTTGCAATAAAAAAGTCGCATATAATTTTTTTATTTGGACGCATTATCATCTAGCAGCGGTCAAGACCCTTGCTCTCGGTATTCTGCTGAAATTCGACGAATCCTGTTTCATAAACGACTGAGGACATCGATCGAAGAATTTCAGTAATTCTTTTTATGTTTTCGTGAGTGAGACTTGATTTTTGCCGCTCCAGACTTGTTTTTGACACTTTCCTTGTCATCACGAAATAGCCTCAACTATTTAAAAACATTAGTACGATTCATAGCTTTACTATCATAGACACATTGGATCATTTTCATTTTTTCATTTGTTTCCGTGACAGTTTTACCCAATTTAAAACAAAATTTAATATTAAACTCGTTGTCCCATGACGTTTTTCCAACGCGCGCACAAAAGATACTGTCAGATTGATCCCCAAAACTTATGACACAGATGTTCGCTCGATATAAAATTTTTAGGTTTATTACCTGAAGGTTGAAGCTTCAAAATGTATATATTCATTCATAAGTGGTGCTTCAAAAGAGAAGAATCTAGTTACTCACACTTACTTTTATGACATACTGTGTAACTAGAATATTGAGATTAGTGAGCAGGGGACGGGAAGCAGATATCTATACAAATATACATACATCTGAATTAAAATCAGAAGTTATCGTTGCTCAACTGAAAAATATGATATATTGGCGATATTTTCAAGTATATAATCTGTTTTCCAGCAAGGACACGTTAAATTATAAAAGGCCATTTTATTGATTACATATGATTCATAATTTTATTAGTTACTGCATTATTTAACATCTAATATGATACAATTTATTATCCTGCATTCCTGAATCGCACGTGTCATGTGATTTAACTTGAACGACGATTTTCCATCATCATTTCCTTCACTTTGTCGATATTTTTGTTAACCGAAGACGTTGAAGGTCGACCGGAACAAGGCAAGTCTTCAACTACTTCTCGGCCTTCTTTGAATACTTTGTATCACTCGTATGCTCGTGTTTTCGATAAAGCTGACTCACCGTTTTCAACCGCCTTTTCCAACATTTTCAACTCAGCACAAGAAATTTCGTTAGCAATACAAAATTTGAGGCAAACTTTTTGTTCGATATTTTTATTCAATTTAAAAATCGCAGAATACACTTGAGGTCGACTAACAAAACCAATAGTTGTAAACAAATTGGTTGACAGATGGCGCCAAAACTCTACGTGACAATTAAGTACATTCGTACCAACTTACAGCAAAAAATATGTTTTCGTACACGGGCTTTTGAAATGAACAATTCAGTATTTATTTGATAGAACGTATTTTTCATACATTACAATAATAATTGGTTCTACGAACGCTTTGACGTTTTTATCATTCCCATTTATGCAATTCATTGTGACACAATTTAAATTTTTAAATTTTTATCGATTAAACAAGTCCGTTTAGACGAACGAAGTAATTATACGCATCGTATAATTATACGCATTCCGCGTTCGAAGATAAATAATATAGAGTAACATAGAGTACAATATGAGAGCGCAATGTAATACAGAGAACTGTAAGTTTCTTCTATCATTATTATCAATATACTATTGATTATAACAGACACGATTTGTCCATCAGATTGCGTTTGTAACATATAGGTTCCTCTCTAAAAAGACATGTAAGAGATTTAATTATTGCCGCTTTCTCGCTTAGCTCACTTCATGTGAGCTGCGGCTTGCTTCATGTCATTTGCGTTTATGAAACCAGGCAAATAGCTGTCATCGCGTTGGTTAGGTCAAGAAAAAAAATACAGAAGAGATATGTCTCTCCCTATCTTTCCTCGTCTCTCCCTGTCTTTCCCCGTCTCTCCCTGTCTTTCCCCGTTTTTTTCTGTCTCTCCCCATCTCTCCCTGTCTCTCCTTCTCTCCCCGTCTCTCCCTATCTCTCCCTGTCTCTCTCTATAATTATTAATTAATTAAAGTATATTTTAATTTATTTATATTTGATTTTTGTTTTATTTTTATTTTACATTTTTTATTGTTTTTTATTAGCTATATGGCGCGTGCGTAGCGCCATGTATTGCTCTAGTGCAATAAGTAGCATATATCTATAACGATTGTCACCGATTCACGAATTTGCGGTAGAGATATCGATTCATGATCGAACATTAAATGTATACGTCAAACTATATTTGCAATTTCACGTACATTTTCTTATAGTTTTATATCAATCTGCGCTTGTGACGCCTGAGATGTGGTTTTGAGTCAAAACCCTTCGGTTCGAATCTCGGCTAACTAATTTAGCGGGAACTAGAAACATTTCGGTTCGAATCTCGGTTTAATAATTTAGCGGGGACTCGAAATATCTCTGTTCGTATTCTAGCTTAAAAATTCTTAAAAATTCTAGCTTAAAAATTTTGCGGGGACTCGAAATATCTCGGTTCTAATCTCGGCTTAATAATTTAGCGGAGAATTAAAAGACATTGGTTCGATTCTCGGTATAATAATTTAGTAGGAACTTAAAACACTTCGGTTCGATTCTCGTCTTAATAATTTAGCAGAGAATATAAAGTTATTGATTTGATTCTCGGCTTAATTTAGTGGGGACACGAAACACTTCTGTTCGAATCTCGGCTTAACGGGATGCCGGACTTGAAAACTTTACCGACATAACGTTGACTTTTTTCTGCAAAGTTTACTACTTGTTGCTTTCACAGAATTACAAACGCTTTAACATAACAAAGTGCATGCAAAGCTAAATTGTAACATTACTCAATATGTGACGAAAACGAGAAAAATATGTTTAAATTTAAATTTTGGACTGTCAGTTAGTGTAATATTTGTTTAATACAAACATTCTGTAGGTTGTATGTACATACGGAAACTGTGGATGCTCCAATCAGGAAAATTTCAAAGATCACTACTACACTTTCAGAATTTAGTTTTGATGCCAAAAGAGATACGAAATGTTTGCAGAAATGTTTATATGCAGTTAGATTTTCCCACAACTATGATAAAGTAAAGCGAAAAATTATTTCACGGATATTTTTCCAGATGACATCGTGCTTTTATCACACTTTTCACAACATCCGAATATCACAACATTCAGAATGTGTGTGTGTGTGTGTGTATGTATATATATATATATAATTAAATGTTTACATTATTATATAATTTTTAGGTTCTAAGTAATATGTATATTGAAAGAGCTCCTCGCGATTTAAACTATTAAATTTCTTTATATTTAGCAGTTTTATGAAATAATAAACACCATTAAATTTAATTTTGTTTATTTCAATAACTTTAACCATTTTTTTATTACTACAATAGTTATATATCACAATCATGTTTGTATGTGTGTTCACATACGTTAAAAATATATATTTAGTATTTAGTAATAAAATCTTTTCTTATTTATAAGAACATAATAATCATAATAAATGTCATCGTTCAACAGCATGTTTATAATTATTAAGAATTTAATATTACCCATGGTAGAAATATATATGGTGTAGCGTTGCGCATCATGGAGGTGAGAGTAGAACTAATCAGAAAGTTACCCAAAAATATTGAGGGCAGCTATAGGCTTTTTCCAATTTTTCGTAACTTTCTGATTGGGAACTACTGCACATTCAGCGGAATGCTACACCTTGTATATTTCCACCATGGTATTATCTATCTACTTATATATATGCACATGGCTGACTGACCGTCGTTACACGTTACTTATATATATATATATACAGGGTGTTCAAAAAGTCCCGGACCGGTGAAATATCTCGAAAACTAAGCATTTTAGAAAAAAATGTTTCAGATAAAAGTTGTGGCGTTTAAAAAGATGTATTTACTGATCACATCAGTTTGACCTTGGGTTGCGTAGCGAAGGTCAGGTCAAGGTCACATTAATTTTTTTAAATGGAACACCCCATTTTTCATTGCATATTCTTATAGCACATCTCGAGAGCTTTCCAAAACGCTATAATAAAATATTTTTTCGTTAAGAAC